AAAAAAAAGGGCACTTAGGAGACAAAATCGGCCATAGGGTTGTTGAGTTATTTAACCTTTTTCACTAGAGAAGTCTCCTTGAACATTTTTGTCGTTTTCGAAATATTAAACAAATCTGTTGGCAATCCGATGTCACATCAACTGACGAATAGATTGGCGAGTCATAGCAAGGCCTTTTAATTTTTGTGATCACCGCACCGTGTAGGGCGTATGTATCTCTCCCTGATGCTCTCTTTCGCTCTTTCGCTCTTGACTCACATACTCAATATTTTCCAATCGACGGCAACCACTGTCACATCAGCGATTTAGTTTGTCAACCTACCTAGCGTTGCTGTGGCTTCACATTACACAACAACAAATTCGCGCACGCAACAAGCGCACACTTCTCAACCGCAGCAAAATTTTCATATCTAGTATGTAATAAACTTTTTGTTCTACACATGCTACATATAAATGTAGCTAGCTACCTTTGTCCACTGTCCGCCACGTCCAAGTGCATATTCACGTTCAATTGCACCGAACCCAAAGCCGAGGACGCTGGTGTGGCTGCGGGCCGCTTACGAAAACTTTGCGCGCCAAAATCGGTCTTGTTGCCTTTGCTGTTACTGTTGTAATTACTACCATGCTCAACGTTGTTCAACTCCTTGTTGCTACTGTCGCTGGTTTGCCATTTACTATGACGAATTGACGGCCGCACTGTGTAGCGCGTGCGCTGTGTCGTTGTTGTCGTCATGGTGGATGTTGTGCTTGGTGCTCTTGTTGTAGTGGTACGCGGCGCGGGTGTCGTTGTCGTCCTTGTGATCGTAAACCGTACATTATTGTTAATATTGTTCGTCAAAGTCGGTACAGTCGAACCCAATTGCGGCCTTGGCGGCAAACGTTGTTTGATATCTTGAAATATATCGCTGGGAAAGTTGATGAACGAAGGTATTTGATTGTGCTGCTTAGTACCCTGCGTACTCGCTGTTGTTTGATAGAATTGGTGGAAATGAAAAGCACCACCGAACGGACCACGCGTGGTGGTCGCCTCGAAGAAGCCCGTCTGAAAGTTTGGTTTCGCGTGCTGTGCGCTAGCCGGTGTCGATTTTGTAGGCGTAGGTGTCGCAGCCGGCATAAATTGTGGACGTGGTGGCGCCATGGTCTCAGACATGGGCATATACGGTGGCATTTGCGAGGGTGGCATGATGTCATCATCGGTGTCAGTACCAAGCGGCTCGTCTTCTTCTTCGCCGTACTCATCGTAGTAGTCGGGCGCGATCGTGCTGCTAGTGGTCGTACTGAATGGTCTGCCTTGGTGTATGTTATGCGCATTGAATTTATGTGACTGATTGGGTATGCTCTTCAGGAAATCTTCGTAACCTTTCACTGGACGCTTCGTGGGTGTCACAGTTGGCCGTTGCCTATTTTCCTCGGTTGTAGCTTCGATTTGCTCGTCGTACTGTTCAACATGCTTATTAGGTTGACTAGTTTTGGTGCTGGTAGCGACTGGTTTACGACCTGGCTGTGGTGCATTCAGCTGCTTGAAATATTTGATCATATTGACCACTTGCGGACTCATATTGGCCAAGTCAGAGGACTGCAAACTTGCAACGAACTCGGGCACGTTGAACTGCAAAGTCAAAGCCGGCTTACGGGAGGACTGAGGCGTATTAGCTGTGGTTACCGTTGAGCTGGTGGGATGAGAAATCTTCAATTTCGGTGATATTGTAGACGTACGCACTTTGGTGAAGACCTGATAGGATTGCGGAAACTGTGCTGAATTGTTTGAGAAAGCGAGGCTCTGAGGATACTTCTCGAAGCTGTTGTATTTGGGAAACTTGGTAGTCGTCGTGGTCACGTGCGATGGCGTTAAATTTGACGCTGAAATTATATTGATATTCGAAGTGGATGGCGCTTGAGTCGTATACCTGGGCACCGGCGTCGAATGGTACGCGCCCTTAATTTTTTGGTTGGCCAACAAATTGTACTTGAAGTAGTTGCTCTCCGTTGTGGTGGGTATATAATTGTCAACTATGCTGTATTGCGAGACCAATTTCGAGGGATACTTCACAGTCGGCTTGTAATCGCCGCTCACCTCCTCCTGGCTACTGTGCTGGTTATTGTAGAAGCCACCCACAGTGCTGAATTGCGAAAAATGTGTGTTGGAAGTGACCTTCAGTGGCGTTTTAGTTGACTGATAGTGTGGCATTTGCGGGAGCATGGCGGCGTCCGAGTCTCCATTCTCTAAATGGAAATATTGAAAATTCTGCTGCTGCATCTTTTTGCGCTGCTCCTGGTATTCGCGCAGTGACTGCAGTATGTACGGTATCAGTTCGGGATTGTTGAAGAGATTTGGACGCCGGGCTGTTGTCGATGGCCGTAGCGTAGTTGTTGTGCGATAGTAATTAGCCGCCATCGGTCGAAAGTCATCTTCTATTAGCGGCGCTGTTGCCGGTGGCGGCGGTGGATTCAATGCCGCGGTGTAGGTGAATTTATGCTTTTGAAGGCCACCACCGCCAAAGGTTTGTGGTCGCTGCAGTTGCTGCTGCTGTGGATATACCTGATATCCAGGACTCAATTGGTTGTAGTTAGCTGAGGTGGAGGGCGGCGACAAATAGGGGTTGTACGCACCAAAGCTGATGCTCGATTGCTGTTGTTGATATGGGCCACCATCAGCATCAATGGAACGATAATGTGTGCCGGGCACATTTTGTATCTGATAGCGTGCGCGTCCACTGAAGTACTGACGCAGCTGACGTGTGCCACGCATACGCGCTTCAACGGCTGTGCTATCATTAGCAGCATCGGTGTCATAGTCCATGTCGAGGAGTGCGGCAATATTGTTAAGCGTCTCCATAATGGGATCCCCGGCTGTGTTGTGCATTTCACGGCCTTTTTCTGTGTTGAGTTCATCAATGCGCTTGCTGCTTACGGTGGTTTCAGATGAGGTCGCGCTGTCTGCTTGCTCTAATTGCTCTTGCGCGCCATCTGTTGACTTCTCTGGCTGACCACCGGCTCCCTTTAGTTCTTCCAATATTTGATCTACAATTTCCATTATCGATTCTTGCATATTTTTGTCAGTTTCCACGAATGCCTGCGCCGGCTCCACTTGTGTGTTTTGCACTGTCGTGTTTCCATTGTACAAAACTACGCCCTTTTGTTCGGTGTTCTCTTTGGCCATCGCATAACCAAGTTCTTTAGTGCTCGGAAATGGTCTCACGTCGCCCGTCGTTGTAGTTTGTATTTCGTCAGTGTTTAAGTATGTCGCGATCTTTGGTTTGTCTAACGTCCTTTGGTGTTCTTCAGTCTTCAAAATCTCACCAGTATTGTAGTGCAGCGCCCGCGTTTTGCCTAAAGTCTTTGGATTCTTATCAGTCTTTAAAATTTCACCGATGTTGTAAACGATTTTGGTGTCTTCATTATTTGGGACACTTAAGTCCCGTTTCACGCGTTTGTGCGTAGTAGTTTCATCGCTGCCCAGTTCAACGTCAGCCAAGTCGTTTTCTTTAAGTAGGGTTTCGATATAAAGATCATTGTTGTTTAAGTTGAGGTCAATGTGGTTCCGGCTATGTTTGTAACAAGTTAGCGGTATCGATTTGTAGTCGTATTCCAATTAATTTTTATTTAAGTCATTCGTTTGATAGCAGTAAACGTATTTTATTTCGTCGAGTTCAGAGTTCAGATTTGAGAGTTGAGAGTTCGTAGTGCAATAGTGAATGCAGTAATGAGTTGAGAGAATTTCATTTGCGATTATGTAAATTTGTTTTTGATTGAGTAGTTTTCGATTAATTTGAAAATAGCAATTAAAAGAAGAATAAGCATTAAATTCATATAAAAAGCGCTTTAAATTGAATGATAGATGAATACTGTACAGTACAGTTTCGGTACAGTTTAGTTCAGCTAAGAAGCAGAAGCGGCTATTCGGATGAAG